TCAGCTTCCCAAAAAGGAATATCCCAAATAAGCTGTGAGGCTGGATTGTTCAAATGTCCCCATTCTTTGCAGCCATGACATGTGGTCCAATACTTTGGTTTTACTGGAGGATCAGAAAAGACTGACTGCCTGGTTGAGACAATCTTTGAAACAGATGATTTTTTATTTCTGTTTGTTTGTTTGCTTGCTTGCTTGTTTTTAGCTCCAAGGCTGTATTTTCTCTCTCTCTTTTTTATTTCATATATTTCCTTTCCTTTGTAGGTTTTTTTCAACATATAATAAGGTAACTAGTAATGGAAGTGAGAATTAGTACCACTCTTTCGGGCCATATTATAAAGTGGAAGGTAGGTTACCAGTGAATACAAGAGCATCGTAAAGGATGCCAGAGCAGCACGAAGTGAGCGCTTATAAAGCCTCTTAGGCCATGGTGGGAGAGCCCCACAGTGGCTGCCTGGGTGGGGAAGAGATGCATGCATAGGTGAGCTCTGCTGCAGTTGCTAAAATACCAGCTTGTTACTTTACAGGTACATTTGAGCATCTCTTATCACTCTGCAAAGCTGGCATGATCCTCTGTGTCCACTTTTTAATGAGTTCTTCAAAAACATTAATACTTAGAGAGTGATATAAATTTAGGCTGGATTAGAGATCCAGAGCTTGGTTTTTGGCATAACTTTGAATGCATGTGGGGAGAAAGTGTTGGGATCAGCATTTACACCAGCTAGTTTTGCCAAGGAAGCCCTGAATTGGAATGGTGCACTTGTGTTCAGGGACCATGCCTCAGTTTCTTGGCGCAGCATCTGCTTGGGGATCTGACCACATCTGCATTGACACACAGGCATTAGGGCTTCAGTGCCTTTCTGCCGTAATTTTAAAGCTTCCATTGCTGTTTTGAAGGGAATGTCTTGGTGCAGCTGACTCACTAATTCTCGGCTTTGAGTTGTTAGCCACTAGCTCTGATCACTCAGAAGTTTTCTCCATAGATACAGCATATATCATGGCATTCCATCCTGCCCATGTAAGGACTTTGTTATGTGCTTGTTAGGATGCACATCAGATGGCAAAAGCTTTTGCCTAGCAAAATAGATCTACTGTCTCTGGTAATTCTTGTGCTTACTAACATTCTGAGGTCTCTGTCTCTTGGCATCCTGAAAGGCTTTTCTTCATTTGGCTTCGCTGGGTTCTTGACTGTGAAAGTTCTGCTTCTTCCCTGCCTGAAGGAATCCTATTCAACCAGGAGTGTCTCAGCTCAGATACCATGAAACTTTTCCCAGAGCACTGAATCACATGCCCTGGAATATTTTTTGTATCTCCAGTACAGTGCATTCCTCAGTTTTACCCAGGCCAAGTTCTGAGTTAGTCTCTCTCTGACATGAATTGGGAGCTAGTTGAGAGCTTAGATGGGCTTTTATTCATCTTTGTTGATTTCCCCACTCACCATTCCCACCTCTGAGACTAAAATGGGGCATATGCTGAATGCCTAAAAATCTTGGTGATTTGAGGAGCCATTTCACTTTTAACAAATAGAATGTATTTTCTAAACAAGTATGTAAGCAAATGGTATATTCTCTTAATTCCAAATTCTGTGTCAATGAGTATTTTGGAAAATTTCCAGAGGTTAATATACTTTTGAAATCAGATTAGCATTCTCTTCCTCGAGGTCTCCAATGATCTTCCAAGTGTTTGACTATGTAGTCAAGTCATTGTCCTCCCCCATGTTGCCGGGCAGGTATTCCACAGAAAGTTTCATCATACTTCATAGCATGGGTGTCAATATTGGTTTCTATTAGGAATGGTTTCCCTGAAGGTATACTTTGGAAAATGTTAATAAAGTTGACTTGGGAAACAGAAAGTTGGGGAATAGGGTAAATTGCATTATCATTCAAAATTATTTGCTGCTCTTTTCTGGGAGAGGATTAAACATTCCCATTTGGATGACATAGGGCATAAGACTTGCTCTGGCCAATGAAATGATGTAGGAAGTATATCTGGTGCTTCTACCACAACGTCCAGCAGTATTGCAGATAGAGGGAGCTAAGTAGAAATGTAGCCAAGAAAGAAAGAAAAAATCTTTGTTATAAACTACTACTGAGATTGAAGGTCTATTTGTTATTGCAGCATAAGCCATCCTATTCTGACTAATACAGAGACTATTCCAAGTTAGTGGACATAATGAAATTCATCTGAAGCAAAGAGAAGCAAATGATAAGTGATGAGAAAGGCCTGAGATTGCCATGAAATCACAAACTAAGAGCCAATATTGAAGTTAACTCAATAAAGATATTGAAATTGCCATGGGATTTTAAGCTAAGATTCAATAAAGACATTGACCGTTTTGTGTGTGAACCTCAACTAAAGAGTCACATAAACAAAGTAAATATTCCTATTCTCATTCATTCAGCATACAGATGTATGTATTCACAACCTGTGATGGTTTTAACATTTTCCTAGGCATTTACCTAGGCATCGTATATTAAAAATACAGTACTTCACAAACTCTGCCTTGGGGAGTGTACAACTTACTAAAGAAGATCTTACCTTGGTAAATATCAATAATTACATTTTTAGTCAGAAACAAAATAATCTAAGAAGATAATCACTTACATTTAGGAGAAAGAAGAAAGGATTCATGAAAAATGGGGATTGATTTGACCAAGACCTTGAAGTACAGATAAGGAAAGACATGTCTTAAGAACCGTGGGTGTGAACCAGCAATGGCAGGGAATATGGACAATTATTTTCAGGCAGTGAAAATGTCTTTGACTAGAAAATGCTATGCTTAATGCAGAGATATGGTGGAAAATCAAACTGAATTTAAGTTGGGAAAACATGGAGAAACTAAACTTCCTGGATGAATATTTTAATGTTTGTGGGAAACAACAAGCCACAGAAGATTTTGAGTATGGCAGGACAGTGTGTGTCGATGCTGTGCTTCCAGAATGTGAGGACAGCGCGGAGGGCCTGCTGCTGGGAGAGGGCAAGGCCCATGAGGAGGGTCTGCCCCACCTGGGTGGCACTGCAGGTCAATGACCCAGATTTACATGGAGTGGAACCTAAAACCACAGGGCTGTATCCAATGTATGTGAAGGGAAGCTTTATTTCATTGATGATGCTGGAAAAATCCGTTCGCTGTTTATAGAATGAAAGTCAGTGTACACTTTTACCTCATGTCAAACACTGAAATAATTACCAACCCTCAAATTAGGTTTGTGGTTGGATCTTTATTGGGAATTAGCAAAAGTTATTTATAAAAGATATTATATAATTTCGTCATGTTTACAAGGTGATATAGGCACTTTTATAAACTGCTGATAGTGGCAGGGTTCATTGGTGTGATTCTTTGCAAAGTAATTTGACAATACATATCAAAAGCCTTAAACGTTGGCCCAGCAGTTCCTCTTTTGGCATATTCATCCTAAGGAAATAAGTCTAAATATAGCAAAAGGGCTCTGCCCAAAGATATTCTTAAGAGTGCTATTTATAGTTTTATAAAAATGGAAAGCACCTAAATCTACAGCATTCAGGAATTTGTATTTATAAATTATAGAGTCCAGGTGTATACATTTGATGAAGAATTAGGAAGAATTAAAAATTGCATTTACAAATAATTTGCAACAGCTATGAGAATTTTTATACTATGATGAATAAAATATGCATTTGATCAGAGCTGTGTGAAAGAACTCACACACACACACACACACACAGACACAGATGAGCGCGCGCACACACACACACACACACACACATACACACAGACTGGAGGAAATTTCCCAGATTGTCAGCCTTAAGTGCTAGATCTGGTAAGTGATTTCTTTTCTTTTTTATGTAATCCTGGCTGAAAATGTGGTTGATGCTGAAGTAGGAGGCCTGGAAAGAAAATCGTTCATCTTCTACACAGTGGTAATAGTCATAGGAGTGAATCAGACTGCTAAAGAAAAGAATTAGGGACAGACAGAGACATGGAACAAGGTCTGGAAGATGCATATATTTGGGGGCAGGAGAATAGGAGCCTGTCAGGCTTGGCTAGAAGGAGATCAAGAAAGGCCAGGTCTCCTTAGGGTGCAGGCTATCTCAGGAAGAGAGAGCCATCCTTCTGTGGGGGTAGCAGGGGAGGAGTCGAGGGAGGTGATTGGAGGAGGCTACTGGGTTTTGACTGTTTGGCCTTCAGCCAGCTTCCTCGGAACCCAGAGGGCAAGGAGCTGAGAGGGTTACATAAAGCGGACTATTGACGTGGACTGGAGGAAATGAAGGCCATACTTGCTCCAACAAAATAAATCAGAAAAAGCAAATATAACGCTAAGTGTGGCGTCATAAATGGGCTGTTTTCTCCCTCTATAGTGGCAGGGTGGTAGGATTCCAAAGTGTGCTAAGTAGAACGTTCACATCCGAGGGTTACCAGAGGGATCCGTGTGCAAGAAAACAGGCGCTTCTTCCAGGCTCTCCTCCACGCCTTTTCCGAGGCCGAGCATCTTAGCCTGCGCCGTTGCTTTCTCCGGGACTGGCCTTGCTCCTCTGCCTCCCCGGTTCTTAGGGTGCCTCTGAGCTATTCCTATTATCTAGGGACAGTACCTCCAGCGCCTGTGTTTAGGGTCATGCTGGATGGGCTGAGAGGATGACTGGTAAAGCATTTTTGCCCAGTAAAGCCTTGAGCCAAATCTCCCCTGTGTACAGTGAAGAAGGGGACAGTCATTAATTTTAAACAAGGTATTTGGCATTATTCTGTATTCTAAGCTAAAAACTTCCCCAAAGTTTTCCCAGGGGTAGTTCTCAGCTGAGCTTTTAGCCTTAGAAGAGTATCCTTATCATTATCTTATAAATAGACTGAAAAACACTCCCCCCAGCTCTTCTTTAAATACCATCAGCTGACAGAAGCAAACTACATAGTTGTGGACTGCCCCTCTGTTCACGGACTTTTCAAATGCGTGCTGTTGACCATGGACGTCCAAGCCAACTGTGTCTGCAGTGCCTTTTCTCCAGCGTAACACCCTTGTCTGTCGCCACAGGTGCCTATCCTCGGCTCTCACTGAGCTTTCGGTTGAAGAGAAACATTGGATACTTCATTCTCCAGACCTACATGCCCTCTATACTCATAACGATTCTCTCGTGGGTGTCCTTCTGGATCAATTATGATGCATCTGCTGCTAGAGTTGCCCTCGGTATGTGCTATTTTTAAGTGATATTTAAAATGTAAAGTAACCGTGTTATTACAGTATTAAGAGAGTTCAAAGGCTGTAGTTCAACTACAATTTTTTGACATCATGACACCGGCATTGCCCACATAGTCACTTTTTGTCTTGAAACACTAATTTCACGCACGATTCTCTTGATGTGTTAATTTAATTATAAGGCTCAAATGTGAATTTTCATGCCCATGAAAGGCAAAATACGCTCGCAGAATATTTGCATAATAAAACTATTTTTGACACTAATTTTAAAGCAAGGATTAACATCTCCTGTTCAAAATTATTCCATGGCCCAGAAAAAAGACTTGATTAATTGTGCATTATTCTTGTTTTTTAAGTCAGAAAAATAGTCAAATAGTACAACATATAATTGGAATTACACAATTTAGTGAGCATTAAAATATGCAATTAGATTCTGAGTAATTCTCGAAAACTCTAATGGTCTTTTCTGACTGTTGGTTATTGATAACTGGATTATTAGCTGATATACAATATATTTTATAGGTTCCAATATTATTTTTAAT